AACTTGTATATCAAAACAAAACATTTATTAAATTAGATAGTCTCCATTCTTATCGATGATGCTTTTCCATCTTACAGTCAGGTTGTTAATGCCCTAATTAAAGAAATCACTTTGTTTTGAAGCAAAAAACATGTCGATGTCCTCTTTAACACCTTCCACACTTGCATACGTTTTTCCATTAAGATGGTGTTGCAGCAAACAACAAAGATGCTAATCTAATGGTGCCATATCTGGAGAATATGGTGGGTGGAAGAGAACTTCCCAACCCAACTCCATAATCTTGTGTTGCGTCAAACGTGCCACGTGTGGACATGCATTGTCGAGGAAAAAAACAACACTTTTCCAATTGATGAGTGAAGGAAATTTTTGACAAAGGGTTTGATTTAAACATACCAGATGCTGACTATAGATCTCTGCATTGACAGTTCGCTGTGGATTGAGGAGTTCGAAATGAATTACTTCTTTGATGTCCCTCCAAATGCAAAGCATCACTTTCTGTGGATGGAGTTCAGGAGTCAGAAATGGTTTTTGTCTAGGACTGAGCCATTCTTTTTGGTGTTTAATATTCACATAGAGAATCCACTTTTCTTCACCGGTGAAAATTCTGTCCAAAAATGTTGCACGCAGCATTACTCGCCAGAAGAGACGAAGCAACGTTCGCACATTGGAAACGATGGTCATCGGAGAGTTCGTAAGGCACACAAACACCTTCTTTATGAAGTTTTCCCATATTCCTTAGATGTTTACACATTGTTTCATGAGAGGCATGCAATTTCAGGGCCATTTCACGAGTGTGTTGCCTTAGGTTAGACTCAACAAGCGTCTTCAGAGCATCAATATCAATTCTGTCCAAAAATGGTGCACGCAGCATTACTCGCCAGAAGAGACGAAGCAACGTTCACACATTGGAAACGATGGTCATCGGAGAGTTCGTAAGGCACACAAACACCTTCTTTATGAAGTTTTCCCATATTCCTTAGATGTTTACACATTGTTTCATGAGAGGCATGCAATTTCAGGGCCATTTCACGAGTGTGTTGCCTTAGGTTAGACTCAACAAGCGTCTTCAGAGCATCATTATCAATTCCAACATGTCATCCCCTGCCATTGCAGTTTTTAAGTCTAAAGTCACCTGAATGAAATTTGCTGAACCATCATTGACCCATATGAACGTTCAAAACTTTTCCACAAACTTCTTTGATATTCTTTGTGGCTACAGAAGCGCTGTTTCCCTTCTTACATTCAAACAACGTTACGTGCCGAATGTGTGTCTCATCATGTGCCATCACTATAAAGTATTGCAGTATACTAAATTTTACACATTATATAGGCTACACTAACGTGACGTTTAGGC